TATTTTATTTAATATGAAAATAAAAATTAATACAAATGACCATTTTGTTACGCAATCATATAATATATAAGTTTCAGCCCTAATTGTTATTATTGTAAAGATAAGTTTATATAATTCAATCTTGGATTTTTTTTTGAACACATACACATAAATAATAAAAAAATAAAAAGGGACGTACAATCCAAATTAATTATTTTAGTATATATCTAAAGAAAAATATAATAAAGCATAAAAATATAAAAAAAGTGGTATATATACAATTTCATTATTTGTCCATTAAAATAAAAAATATGATCGTTATCTATCACATCAAACCATCATATTTGACTTTCTATCTCTTGTGTGAAACTCATAACGACTATATTCTTCATTTTCATTCTTACATTAATGTGGCTCAAGCGGGACCTTAAAAGAGAATCTTCTTTAGATGTCCAAATTGTAAAGTTGTTGTTATTTGTCAAAGGGTTAGCCAACGCACCAATGCCCAAATTTTCGGCCTTAATTTTTAAGCGTGCCTTTGATATACTATTTTCTTTGACTAAAACTTTCTCCACACTCCATACCTAACTTTAAGCTTAAGCAATCCTCCCAAAAGGGATAAAATAAAATTCAACTCCTATTGAATTTTCAATAGTATTTCTCTTTTTCAAATTGATAAATGTGAAGTTAAATTTCCATGTGATCTTTATACTTTTGATGACGTTTTATTTCACCCTTGCTCCCTAAATGAGACTCGAGTTTAGGTTACTAACGTCACAAGGTTATACTCATAGAATTTATTTTTATTTTTCATGTTGATTAATCAATATATATGTATATGATTTTGACCAATAGATTAGTCAAACTAAATAAACATCGACTTAGTGACTAGCATGAATTAAGTTCATATTTGGCTCTCATTTTATTTTTTAAATTCATTTTTCTCAAAACTCATTTTCAACTACACATTTCATTAGATGCACAACCTTTATCAGTATTTTAACCACATATTTCATCAACTTTTATCAAAATTTACTACAAATCGAATTTTTAAGGCAAGTGTCTTAGTTTACTGTCAACTTTAAATAAAGTTTTAAGTTCAATAATCAATTTGGAATAAATATAAATTTCATGGAATTTTTAAAAAAGCTAACTGATCACCACCACCACCACCACCACTCGCCTATTAAAGGCAAGATAGCTTCATGGCATAAATTTAAAAAGTTAGCATTCAGTGCAACCTTAACAAAACATTGTAGAAGAGAGACATACTAAAAACAATATCGAACATAATTGTAAAATATTAATCGATTTAATTTTTTCGGTACATAATAACCACTTACCAAACAGAAAAAAGAAGTTACATTAAATTTTTTTTCTTGTACTATTATATTATCAAAGGAGTAATTAAAAACAAAAAGTTGATGCTGCTCAAAAATCACTTCACTGTAATGGAAAAACTTTAGGGAGCGCCGGATTCGTATTCTATCGGCTAAACCTGCAAAAAGTGCCAAAAATTCTCCCTTGCTTAAGTAATATGTGAATTTATAAAATTGACACAATGATCTCTTAGTGTGCGTGTCTTTGGCACGGAGACTAGCGTTTATAGATGATTTTATCCCCATGTCTTGAGCTTACAAGGGATCATTAAATGAACTTTATGTGTCTATCGGATAAGTCATTTTCTAAAACTTTGTGTCGACTATCTATCATGAGTTCACTAGAATTCGTTGAGCAAACTTTGCATACCTAGTGGATAACCCCCTTTTCTTGGGAAAAATAAAATTATGGGATAGTATACCCCTAAAAAACTATCCGTCATTCCAACAAGTTATATATCCAATTTCTTGTGGTCTAGATTCCAAACACCCATGATCAAGACTCCGTGATTATGACTTCATGTTGACACAGTTGAGCTTGATGTGAGAGCTAACTTCAAGACCGCAGGATCGATAGAGTTTTACCAATTACGATATCCTTTATTTGTTTTCTTGATAAAGACGAATGGTAATTTTGTTTTTTGATGTCAAACATAATCCATATTCTATACTGCCCAACTCAACAAGATCGCCCTTTCTTCTCCAAGTTATTTACAAATATTAATTCCATAGTTTTCAAACTTATATAATTTGATTAATCTTTCAATTATTGCCAAGGAAAATTTGTCAGATTAATACAAATATTCTGCAATCATGTGCACATGCCAAGTTGTCCATATTTTGGGCAGGCAAAAAGATTGCGTTACGAAATGTTGTAGTACCTAATCCACACAAAATTATAGTTAATGTTCTCTTACATTATGTTTTTTTGCATGTATACTATATGTTTTTGCCAGCCAAACCATGTGGAGGAAGTACATAAGTTAGTTGAAAAGCCATGTTCGAAAAACACAGGTTCTTCATTCATGTGTCTGGTTCTGTAAAATCAACATACAGCTAAAGACAATTGCTTTGCAATATTGTTCAACTAGATTTATTTGTATTTTATTCAATCTTATATTTAACGTATCAAATATATCTTTGAAGGGCTCGAAGTTCCAAGAAGAGAGCTACGAGCTGCGAGAACCTTTTTTTTTTCCGTATCATTGATCGAGTGCTCTTCGTCGAATAAGAAAGAGGCTAAGTGATCTATTGAAATTGTGGGATTTAAAATGCATCAATAGAGAGCTTTTTGTCTTATAGGGAAGTTTCGTGGTGAATGAAGTGGAAGCGAGAATGTATACACCTTTGAGTTGGTCCAATATAAATAAAAACAAAGAAGAACTCTGAATGAATGCAGTGGAAGATGTGAATTGTCGAAGACAAAGGTTTTGAATTAGGCATGAAACATTCATTCCGTAAAGGTGAATTGTTGTCATGCTTTATTTAGTGGCTGGTAGTTGGGTCATTTCACTCATTCTTTTTTAGGAATAATATTATTATATTTATTTCTTGGGAATTTGCATACTTGGTCCTGCAGTAATTGTTTTGAGTGGATCACGCTGTACTTAAAGAAACGAAATTAACAGAATTTTTCCATACAACTCACAATAGGCATGGGTGGGTGATATTTTTTGATCATACATGGGGCCTACACGTGTGTTTGTTCTGGCAGAATTCTATAAATTGGATTTATGTACAAATGGAAATTTACTTTTGAGTAAATGTTTCTACGAAACCTGGCTTTCTCTAGCGTACGCTAGCTTAGTTGTGCTTATGTGATTGGTTTTGCTTGTAAGTTAACCCCCTACTCTTTCAGTGGAGCAGTGCAATGGATAGAGATTGGATAGAAAATCAATGATAAAAGCATTAAGTTTGGTCGACACTAACACCGCAAGACGAAAGTTATGAGAGTGTTAGAATTAGATACCCCAGTAGCCATAAACGATGGATACGATGTTCTGTGCATTGGCCCATCTAGTACTATGACGAATACGTTAAATATCTTGCTTGTGGAAAAATGAATTCGAAGGAATTGGCAGCAATGAAGCATGTTGTTTAATTCGATCATAACTTTTAGATAGGTGAAAACTGATTTTAACATTTCATTATGATTGCACAACACCAAAAGGAATCTAAATTTCCATTAAATTATTATGTAACCCTTGTGAAAACATATCTAGAAACTAGACTAGAAAAATAAAATCCAACTTCATAAAATGAGATAAGTAACAATAAAACAATTTTATTGAAATGGATTGTGAATTAATTGTTAAATTATAAAATCAATTTTCTTATTTTTAAAAACTGATGATCAACTTGCTACTAGAAAAATAAGTTCAAGCCAAAAGAAAATTTTCCCGATTAAGTAGTTGTTGTCAAGAGATAAATCTCATATCTAATAATTACAGAAATATAAACGAACATAATAGGGTTTGAGCTACCCCTTTTAACAAGATTGATAATTTTAATATGATCGGATTAAGACTAAAAAATGAGCACACATATTTTAAGATTTGTATGCTCAAACGAGCCACTATCTTGCATGAACATGTTAAGTGTTAAATTTCACATTGATTAATTATCGAAATATAGACCAACATATATTGATTTGAACATCTTTTTTTAATGTGATTGACCTTTTAATATGAAATTTCAAGTTTCAATAATTGTATTGTATATGTAATGTACATGATTGATCTCCTGTTCAGAGTAGATATGAGATATTTTATCCATCACTGAGGTGATAAGATGTGGTCTTGCCATCTCACCAATAGAGTGTAAAATACTTGAGAGATGGCACCTTATCGGTGGACCGGATAACGCCAGAGAAATGTGATATACATGAGTTAATTGTTCCAATGGTCACCGAACTAAAATTCATATCTTTGATTGATCATTGAAACTTAAAATGTCGAGTTTTGATAACTGAATTTCGATCCATGTCTTCAATTGCTCACTGAAATTTAAAATGTCGAGTTTTGATCACTGAATTTCGGTCCATGTCTTCAATTGCTCACTAAAGTTTAAAATATCGAGTTTTGGCTATTGAACTTTGAAAAATATTGTACATCATTCACTGAACTTTGAAAAATGCTGTACATCACTCACTGTAAACTCGATATTTTTCAAAGTTCAACAATTATGCTAGTGAGTGACGTACGGCATATTTCAAAATTCGACATTTTAAATTTCAGTGAGTAATTGAAAACATGAATTTAAGTTCAGTGACAAAAACTTATCATTTTAAACTTCAGTGACCAATAAAAAAATGGATTAAATTCAGTGGCCATTGGAATAATTAACTCGATATATATATGTTCAAGGAAAAAAATAAAAATAAAAATGTATAATCGTATTTAGTCATTGTTTGGTATCGATTAAAGTTCGAATTTCAATTTAAGTCAAAGTTAATAATTAATTTTAATCACATATTTAATGAGTCTCACTACTTCACACATTCTATCAATTTTTATTAAAATATATTAAAAATCTAATTTTAATTTCAGTATAAAAGATATTGGTTCAATTTTGTATTGTGGGTCATGGAGTTTGGCTAAGCTGGCCTGACAACTTTAAACGTCAGGCCAGCCAGCCTGCCTGCCTCGTTCATAAGCACCCCACAACCCCACCCGCACACCACACATCATCCTGAAAGCAAAAGCAAGAGAGAGAAAAAAGAAGGCTGGAAAAGAAGCTCTCGATAAAGAGGAGAATTCAAGAAGGAAGAAGGGTTTTCTGTGCAACCCTTGGAGAAAAATGACTCAAACTCAGAGGACACTAGAGAGCCAACTCTCTCTCACACAATCTGTCCAGATATCAGGAAGTCTGAGTTTCAATGGAACCTTATCAAAAGAAGACGAAGAGATGACCAAATCTGCACTTTCCACTTTTAGGGCTAAGGAGGAGGAGATTGAGAAGAAGAAGCTTGAGGTCAAAGAGAGAGTTCAAGCACAGTTGGGTCGTATTGAAGAAGAAACTAAGCGTTTGGCTACAATCCGTGAGGTAAAAACAAACAAACCTTAATTTTTTATATGTTTCTTATGATGATTATTAATTTTTTCGAAATTACGAGTGGGTATTTCATAATTTTTCGTGGGTTCCAAACTATTAGTTGTTAAACTTTATAAACTTTACTAAATTAATTTTGAGATTCAGGTTGGAGAATGAAATTAGAGCTTATCCATTGAATAAAACCTTGATTTCAAAATTTCTGATGTCTTCTTAGAAGAAAAGGCTGTCCTTTCACTTTAGTCCCAAAATAATTGCGAGGACATTTTTGCTTTTGCAGGATTTATTATACAATTCTTGGGTTTCTTGTTATTTATGGAGTTTATTTTATCACTTTATAAACTAATTAATCAACCCTTTAAACTAGCCATTTTCTGGTTTTATGTCTTGTATCTGTATATCTGATTCATCCAAAATGATAAATCTGAACTTGTCTTTGAATTGGGTGAAGTACCTGAAATGAATCCCCTGAATATATGATTTTAATAATTAGATGGAAAATTAACAGATGCCCTTATTCACTTTCTTGAATGAACTGTAAATTAATGACCAGGAACTAGAGGCGCTAGCGGATCCGATGAAGAAAGAAGTTGCGGTTGTTAGGAAGAAAATTGATACCGTGAACAAGGAATTAAAACCACTTGGACAGACTTGCCAGAAGAAGGTATAATATCTACCACTACTTTCAAGAAATCTAACAAATATGATGACATTTATGTTGTTTAAAGACAATTTAATTCGTGTACTCCAATTTATTGGCTAATTAAATTCAACATAAACCATCTGATTTTAAAAGGAAAAAGAGTACAAAGAAGCTCTCGAGGCTTTCAATGATAAGAACAAGGAAAAAGTGCAGCTGATTACTAGATTGATGGAGGTGAGCCGAATCTTAAAATCTTTAGCAATTTTAAACTGTAATCATTTTGGGTTCTTGAACGATTATTCTTACTACTGCTGGTTTGAATTTGAGAATATGCAGCTGGTTAGTGAAAGTGAGAAATTGAGGATGAAGAAGTTGGAGGAGCTGAGCAAAAACATAGAGACAGTGAACATAGCCTAATTTTCACAACTAGTTAGATTTGCGTGATGTATGTAAGCATGAAATTTCTATTTATATGTGTTGTTTTTTGTGGGTTTGGTTGTATTCTATGGTTTTTCTTGTTTGTTTGTTTAGTTTTCGAAGGAAGGTTTCTAGTTTTAGGAAGACAAATTTCCACTATAAACTGATTTGTAACTAAAACGGGTCTCACGTACGAATTCTTCTAATCTAGTGTTCCTTTTCTGTGTACTTCTCTAGTTGCCCTGTCTCATGTTTTGTCGATTCATTTACACATTTCGTGGTTATATTCTTCCCCCCAAGCCAGAATCGATTTTCATTGCACAATGTGCTTTCTGAAAGTAAATGGATGTAGTTGTTAAATTCTGGAATGTTGGCCTTTGGTTCGATACTTGCTATAAGCTCCCATGATTAGAGTAAGTAGAATTGTTGAAAATATCTGTCATATGTTGGATACTTTGTTTAGGAGGCAAAGCACGTCTCTATCCTATAATGCACAATGAATTTACCTGAATCAGGTTACATTTCTATATGATGAATGTGGTGCTTCTCTGTCTACATCTAAATTTAAACATCATTAATGTAAGTGCAAGAACAATAAAGCAATGACAAGTTATCCTATGCCATTATTTTGTGAACTTTAACATTGAAATCTAAACTTGCACGATCATATCATTGCTTGTTTTGAATATGAATAAATGATTTTAAGTATAAAGAAAGGCAGCCGGTTTAACCACTACAACTACCAGCAATTATATGTTTCTTCTTTTTGAATTTGCAACCAAGACAATAAAGTAGTTGTTGACTTTGGATTAATTGAAGAAGACAGAACAAGACAAAGCTAAAGCTTTTAGTGTTGGTTCCGTATTGGGCTTATGCTCCAAAGAGACCAAAACTATGATATATTTCCTTAACGCACAATAAAGGAGTTCAGTTGCCACAAGTAGTTGAATTTGAACTAACAGAATTGCAAAGAAAGATTTGTATTTTCGATCTTATATTTAATTAAGATAAGAATTAACACTGGGTGGTATCCCATCACCAAGAAAGTTCTCATTTCGAATGTCTTTAACGTGAGTAGAGTAGGAGAGAAACTTTGGTCACGTGGTGCGATCGTCCAATGTCAAGACGTCATTTATGGGCCGCTCGTCGAGGTGGCGCACCTTGTAATCGCCCTACGAGAGTAGGAGAGAAACTTCGGTCATGTGGTGTGATCGCCCAATGTCGAGGCGTCATCTATGGGCTACCTATCGAGGTGGCGAACCCTGCGACCGTCCTACGAAAGTTTCTCTCGTAGAGTAGGACTCAGAAATATATAATATTTCTTCTGTAAAATATGAAAATGTGACGGCCAATATGTACTTGTAAAAGCAAAAAATTAACAAATATATATATTTTGCATCAGACTCTTTTATCTATTAATTCAAAATTGACGTCATATTGGAATATTCCATGAAGACCTGCTTATAAATAAATAATAAAAAAAGTAATTTCCCAATTACGTTTTACTTTTTGCTCAAATGGTAAGGAGCACCAAATCTAATTATGCTTTTATAGTACTTAAAAAGCTGCTTATTCTCTAATTAATATCACTAATCTTAACTGCACAACATTATTGGTATTTGTCTACTGCACCTCTAATGGGCTAAACATGATCTGTTACTTAAATTCAAATTTAAGCACTAAAATTTTAATATTTTTGGATTAATTATTGGAATAATTATATAAATAAATGACAAAAAAGATCTAAAACTAAAAATCGTATTATACCTCTTTTTATGTTGAGTACAATGCACAATAAGAGATTGTTTTCGTGTAAAGGGATTTACTATTGTTGTTATTTTCGGTGGACGGTCAAGAGAGTGTATAGGCGTGTGAGAGTGAGGAAGAACTGAGAAGTGAGATATCTCATTCAACATAATCAAGTGTTGCACACTTTTTTTATACTTTTAATTGTATCTGGCGCATTTAAGTCAGTTTCTTGGATTAGAGAAATTTCACAATAGATAAGATTATAGTAAGATGAATTAGGAAGGATTGTTCTAATACGGCATTTGGTGCTATACTGTATCAGAAAGTCTCTACCATACTGTTGGGTATTTTAGTAAGTGATACCCAAATCCCCTAGGCAATGATGAAAAATCGAGGCCCGTTTAACTTCATAGGCTAAAGCTCGATATTGAAGAATTATAAATCCACACCACAATTGATGTGACCCAATTGTGTTGGGTATTTAGAGGAAATCAGCCCATTGGACTATGTACTCAATACCCAACTTTGGAGATAAATCTAAATCACGTGAGATTTAGATGGTTGCAATGGTTATAC